TGTAAGATGACTCAAAAGGCTAAGATTATCTATACATTGTTTAAAGGAATAGGATTGGATAAAATTGGATTAGTCTTGTATAGTGCTGATGCTATTTCTAGGCTAACTGATATACAAGTTCAAAATATAATAAAATTTTATACTGATGAACTAGTCAAATCTCAGAGAAGCAGGCATAGTGAAAAATTAATCAGCGTGAACAATTGTTCACGCTCACGTGATTAATGACAAATCACAAATTCAGAAAATAAGTGTATTAGATGATTCTTCAGACTTTAACTCAGAATTTTCCGATAGTGATGAAAATTCTCATGATGAAATAAACAAGGAAGTTAAGGCTTTATTGGAAATCAAGATAAATGCATTATCTGAAAAGTCAAACAATTTGACTTATAATCATGCTTATTTCTGTAATAAAACATTAAAGCAATATTCTAAATTATATAGAGCATGTGTTAATGAAAATATTGATTGTTATAGAATTACTGATAAAGCTTTGTGTTCTTTATGCAATTTGGATCATGATTATGCAGATGGCATAGAAAGAATATATAAAGATGAAACTTATTATATTAAATGTAAACAACATAAAATTCAAATAACTGCATAAGCTTTATCCATTCATGTCTTATAACTTATTATATTTTTAAGTGATACATAATATACGTATTGTTACCATTTTGAGCTTTTGCATATGAAAGTATTTCAAAATGGCAATAGTGATTGTGTTCATGGTAATTTACTTTGAATATTATGACTAAATGATATTTATGACAATAAAATAATGTTTCTTGACAAGATAAAAGGTAACGAAAAATAAGACTAAACTAAAAGATAAACTTGATCAGAAACTATTTAAAATTCCAAAATAAAATCAATTTAATCTATCAAACCTGACATTAAACCAAAAGAAACTTAAACTTAACTAAAAGAACTTAAAATCAAAACTTTTAAAACTAGAACTGAAAAACTTGATTTTTTATTAATTATTAGCACTTGTATTTATATATGTTTTTATATTACAATGGCACAATATGACACAATAATATGCAGTATAGTGCAGCATAATACAATTATAACACAGCATGTGGCACAGTAGATCTATGCTAATATTATGAAATTATTGGTTCTCTTTTAAATTACATGAAATTTAACTATATTATAATTAATAATCTTGTTCTACATCTAAGTACCAATAGCAAAAATAGAAAA